ATTCGGCCCGTGGCACAGAAGATTCTCCAGCCCTTGTCTGACCAGAGGTGTAATGCTGTTGATAGCTATGGCTTTGCTGATAAACAGCATCATCCATAGTTGGTGAGCCATGCAGAGCGTAATAGCTGCTATCTGTAGGTGACTCTGGGCCCCTGGTGGAAGCCTGGGAGTTACTGCCAGAGCTACCATATCTGATCAAAGGCTGTGACTGATAATAGTCGAAGGAGTATCCAGTTGGTGACGAAGCCTGGTCCTGTGGTGACGAGGCATCATACCAGTTGTTGTTGTTCCAGTAGTTGGATCCCATTGTGTATGATGAAAACTTGTCTAGGTCGTAGAGAAAACCTAAAACGAAGCTGATATAGTATAAGTCAATCAGGGAGAAGGTAGCAAGCACGGGAGTTTAAGAGGAAAAGCCAAGGGCTTGTAAATAAGGTTACGAAGGGAAGCAGATGATGTAAAGATAGAACAAGTATAGGCCGCAACCAAAGTAATATCTTGATGGCGGTCCTGGAAGGGAAGAGAAGAAGTTTGGTGCATGAGACTTGATGTTAGGATAATGGTCTAGCAATCGAAGCAATGGAAGGGAACAAAGAGGTGGTTATATGCTTGGGAAAGTAAAGGAGTGAAGGGGGGGGAGAGACAACTAGTGCAGCCCAAGGATGATATTGGCCAAGGTGAGGCTCAAATCGCACATTGATTAGTGAGGCGAAGGTAGGAGTCATCTGTGTGATACACAAAGGTGATAGGCAGTATGGACTTGAAACTGTAAGAGACGCCGATTTCCAGAAACAGCCGCGGTCGGAATTGGAAGACACTACCAGCTTGTACAGCTCGAGCTCCAGAGTAATGTTCAAGGGTCAATGACATGCCCAGGGTAGCTGTCGGGGAACACAACGGACTCCACCCGGGCCAACCTTCGAACAAATAGAAACATAGTTATTAGGTAGCTTGATAGAAGGACTGCCATAAGATAACCAGTTCTAAGACCGAAGACTGGAGAAAGGACAAGGTAGGCAGTACACAGAGCAAGCATAGGTCTATGGCGAAGCAGCATCTAGCGCAAGCTAGCTCGTGATGCGTAAATCGACACTTGTCGTTTAGGTAGGAGACTAGGGTAAAGTCAAGCTAGAAGAAGATAACAGAGCATGGAGAAGCGAGTCAAGACTGGAGACACCCTATCAAGTGTGGTGTGCTCCTGGCCGGTGTCCCAAGGGGGAAAGGGGACATAGATGGCGATGCAACAGTAGCAAATGTCGGTACTTAGCTAAGATAGCTCACTCTGAGGTCAGCTAGAGGTCCCCAGGAACAGCAATAGTTGGCTTGCATAAAAAGCTACGGGGTGGTGGTGGTGCCCTATAGAATACCGGCTCAACCGGGATCTGTGAATGTCGCAGTAGCATGGAGGTACAAGCCCGGGACAAATCCAATGGGAGGTGTGTAATGTGTGCATTCGTCGGTCCAGGATATGCACCCATAAAGCCGTGGAACGAAGCTTTCAAACTGGAAACTAACCAGAAAGCCAGGCTTGACTGCTTCTGTGGAACTTGGAAACTGGCCGAGTGCCTGTTTCGGTAAGAGAGAGAGAACGATGAGTCTAAAAGTGGTTACGCCCAGCAATTGACACTTTAAAGTGTTCAAGGGAGTAAGAAAGCTTCAGACGTTCAGCCAGGGCGCAAAAATAAACCAGTCTGAAGGCTTGCTCAGAAATACTAAGCTTACCCAAGTCTTTTCGGCACTTAGAAAAGAGGGCCTAGGTTTTCTTGCTCCCTTTGAATGGTGATCATACTTGCTTCTGGGTGGGCAAGGTCCAACAGGGCGTGGCGATGCTCTGGGGCTGAAGATCATGGAGCAAATGATTCTGGCACGGGCTGGCGGCAGTGGATGCGGTGCGGGAATGATTTGACATGATGCGCATCCCTACAACGACCTGTCCTTGACGAGAGATAACCGAGAAACCACACAAAGGCAGGACTAGGATAGGGGCTGTGCCAGGCCAGCTCAGCAGATTTCGGTCACTACCAGAGGGAAAGTTGGCTTGGCCAGTGCGCTTTTGCGTGCATGTGCCGCTGAAAGCTCACTAGAAGGGTCGTCGACAACAGCAGGACAGGACAAATTTGGTGCTCGGTAACGGGAGGATTGAGTGAGGTATTCGATCGACACGGCAAGGAATTCGTCCATACCGTTTCATCAGTAACGGTCAATGATATTGGGTTGAAAGTTGGATGGAACAAAGGTCTTCAGGACTCTCGACGAGGCAGAATTCAATACAATATGCAATGGGCTTCCATCACCCAAGGTAAGGGAGGTACCACCTTACACAGGAAAGGCACTGTAGAGTGGAGGTAGAATTCCTTTCCAGTGCAGGACATTGGGCAGTACCTGCCTTCAGCTGTCACATCCACCTCATCTCTCGCACTCCTTACCCCTCCTGCTCCTGCCTTGTTGATGGCCCCTGCGACGGTACCTACCTAGTGGAAACCCCAGCCGCCCAGGGTTGCTTGCTCCTTCTAAACGTCGACTTTGTATTGGTCAAAGTGCCATCTGCCATCCTGACTTTGCCTTCTTATCCATACCTAAAATTATCAAACATGCACTTTTATGCGTTGGCCTAAATCTAATGCTTCGCATTAGTATCAAAACAACCGCTGGGTGTGGACAGTAGCTTGTCGATCTCAACGGCGCAAGCATCAAACAACTTCTCGATGCTCACGAGCACGAGCACAAGCACGAGCACGAGCCTCAACGCTACGGAGAAGTCAACAGATGCACCAATAATGCAGCGACCCCTTTGCCATGTGTCGATTAATAACTCAATCAACAAAGATATTTTGCTGCCTAGGCTGGGACCAGCTAAGGAATTCTGATTTTTGGTCATGGCACCTGTGAGCCAGTCCCAGTGCTCAATTGGCAACATGGGGCAAACAGCCAGCAACAGGTCGAGGTCTCCAGCAGAACAAAGCACAGACAAAATAAACCCAGCATCGTCATTCTAGCATCTGCCACACATCTTTCTGATCCTACTTATCTGCTTGGACTGTAAGGTTGGTGGTGGTCTGGGTTGTGTAACTCGCTGCGTCTCTCAGAGCCTGGCGTATCATGGCCAATCTGACATGTCTCAACAATGGACAAGGCGGTTCTTTAGAACACCCAAAGTGATCAGCAAAAACAGCAAGCGCCTGAACGAAAACCACCCTGGACGCCCTAAAAGGCCTTGTCTCTCCTGGAGTCCTACTGGATCCCTACCCGGAATCTGCAAGACAGCGCTGGGGAAATACCCCGAGATACAAGTGTTTAACTTACCAACGTATCGTACCTGGCAAATCAACACACCGAATAGTGCAGTTGAGCCCCCATGAAAAACCTAAAGGAGTCTTAATAGTGAGGCTGACTGGAGTAGCAAGTGTCAAATGCAAGAGGAGCAGTTGAAAATGGTTCGCCCGCTATGAGATCATGATCGTTTTCGACAAGGTCATCAGACTCACTAGAACCCTTTCCCCATCTGTGACAAGCTCGCCGGGAAGCCAATCCATGCCACCCGAGCCACGGAATTGACACTCGCTTGCCAGGGATCTCGTATCCGAACATTTGCGAAGTTGACAAGCATGGAAGCATTCTAGAAACCTTCCTGTTGTATCCTGCATTGGTTTCGTTTCAAATCCTGGTCGACTTGCGCGGTGACGCCGACGCAGTTGGGGGCGACAATCTTGTCACCCAAATGGCCACCATTAACTTTGGGTCTTTGACGATAGCAGCAAGCGCAGAGCTGTGCCGCAAGCTTGTCATTCGAAAGACGGTATGCCTCACCGACAAGAGCGCTGGATGGCGGACGCTGCTGAAAGTTGCCTTGGCAGAGTCTGATAGGCATAATGACGATGGCACAGAAAAGGCGCCCGCGTCACAGGCGACAAGGCAATCATTCCGCCAGCCCTGAATACTGACGACGCAATTTGGGCAACCTTAACGTTGAGGAAGTGTGTCATCGATGATCAAGTCATACACATGTCAGCTCAGGTTTGACAATCCAAAGGAATTGTAAGAGGAGAAACGAAACTGCAACTGTGTCGCCTGGGGCGGCAAGGGCCCTCATCTTGTGCTTTGTCCACTCGACTGTTTTCCCATATCAGAAAGCCACGTTGTCTGCGATGACTTGAAATGTGCTACAGGTGTAGCCTTGCCTCGATGGCGGTAATGGGACCAGCTTACGCCGGTTGTGTATAATTCGTTGAGGCAACAAGAAGAGGGAACTTGATGAACCTGAAGAGTGTCTCACCGTCTTCCTATGGAGACCGGGTCTATCTACATTCAAGTACTCGCGAAATCCAATACTCTTAATTCATTTCTCGGCTTTTGGGCAGCAATGCAGCAGCCTTCAGATATTGGGTTGTTCACCCAACTTGACCTCAAATTTCACCAGTCTAAACGCTTCACCTTGGCTACTGCTCAGGACGTGCCACGTCAATGCAGGCACCGTGCAGTCAGTCACGAAGGAATGAAACACCTCGAATCATTGTACGTCACTAGGAGAGCCTTGCCCTAACGCCTACCGAGTCCGAGGCTGCGCCGGCTGAAAGAGAGGCTGTCGAGCTGCAGAGGGTCTGGACCATCCAAGGAACCAGTTCCTTTCGGAAAGATATTGATCACGGGTATAATGAGGCAAAAAAGCCACACACATTTGACCAATACTTCAGCAGAATAGTTGTTCAGGGCGACCATGCCCTGAACTCGAAAGGTTCGTATTCATATCTCAAACAATGAGGTTGATAACGCTCCGTATAGCATGTTACATATTCACCTGCGCCAGAAAGCACATCAAAAGCTGATGATAAAAGCAAGATGAGGTTGCCGCCTAAGTCCTTTCTTACTCTCTCTGTGCTCTTAATACGCTCTCTCCAGGATTTCACAAAACCAAGGTGCGTCCAACCAAAACCGATAGCTCCGTCCCATATTTCACATACACGGCCAATGGACTCAAATCTCCATTGAGGAAGCACCCTTGATTAGACCTCATCCTCAAGGAACTTGTAGACAAACTTGAAGTCAGCCTTGCGTCGATTCATCCTGCGCATTCATGTCAGCACGCCTCCCTTGGGCAGTTGGTCAGTCCACTTACCATGTGCTCTCATAGTCGAAAAATCGATATGTGCCTTGCTCAAAGTCTTCGGTGATGTTCTTAGGCTCCTCATGTCTTTGAAACCAAGTCTGATACTGCTTATGGAATCGCCAACTTTGATCTTTCAGAGCCTTGGCTGCCATGTACTGTTGGGCAGTACCCTGCTTATAGTAGAATACATAGAACAGAGTGTCAGGGTCCATACGGGAGTATAACCGCGGGTCATCGAAGATAGCGAGTGGCTCGCGAGGAAATCCTGATCCTGTTGGGGGTACCGGTTGGTCGGGCCGGTATGATCGTGGAACATCGGCATCCACAATATCGGGACAGCTGGCCTGACTGGCAGTCATCATGCGCAGAGCTGATGGCGCAGATGGAGGGTATGGCCGCTTTCTCGACGTCTCATATGTGTCAACAAGATCTTGTAACGATGCCGGTAAGTGGTAGATGCATTCTTCCTCTTCCTCGGCCTGCTTGACACCATTGGCTGTACCATTTGTCCTTGGAGCTACATCAAAGTCAGTTAGTTATTCGAGTCATACAAAACTGTCTCACACACGTACCCTTTGAATATGGAGTGGCCTCGGGGACTGCTGCTTGTTTTCCAGCAGCCTTTGATCGTTTGGACTGTTTCGTGGTGACAGGTACAGGTTCTGGCTCGGCAGGAGCAGGAGCTGGCGTGGGCTGCTTTGACTCTGGTTGTTGAGAAGCGGGCTGGGCAGAGGATGTAGCAGGAGAGTTGGTCGCGCTGCTTCGGGCTTGCGGCAATGGGGATATGCTTGATGATGCGGCACCAGGGGGCGGAGGGAGTGGAGAGATACCAACGTTGTTCTTATCGCTCGCGGCGGCGGCAGCGGCAGCTGAAGCGTACTTGAGGCCTTCCCCGGCGGGCCTTGTAGGTACTGATGCTGGCTTCATAGCCGGCGTACCGGAATTGCTATTGCTGATAGTCGGTAACGGAGCATGGAGTGTCGCGAGTGCAGGTAAAGGTGACTTTGTCTGAGAAGATGTCCTCCGTACTGGGTCAACCTCCTTCTGCGTCTTTCTCGTCAATGTCTTTGGTGGCAAGTCATTGTCGGTCGTAAGGTCCTCTTGCACAGACTGCGCATCCAGAGAAGAATTCTTCTCGTTTTCCGCACCCATGCCGTAGGTACCTTCCTCGTCCTCAAGGTCGAGCTCCTCATACATCTCCTCGTCTTCCATAAAGTCTTCGTTCATGCCATCCGACACATAATATCGAATGCTCTCTTCTAGGTCGGTCACTTGCTCAGGCTCAACCCCTCCGTTCTCCAAGGATCTCCTGATAAGTTCCAGCTTCCCCTGGTGCCATTTATGCCGTTCGATGATGCGTTCAACTTCGGCGATGCGTTCGGCCTTGGCGGTGTTGTTTTTGCCCTTCTTCATGGTCGCCTGTATCGACTCGCCCTCCGCCTCGAGTGTCTCGATTTGCTGCTCCAGCTCGTCGACCATGCCGCTTAAGAATTCGCTGGCCTCAACCTTTGCTTGCTCCTTGGGATCGAGCTTGGCGGCAGCTGATAGACCTTCCTTGGAGTATGCTTTCGTCTTCATGGCCTTCTCCACGGCCTTGAACTTTTCCATTTGCTAAAAACCCGATATAACTGTCAATAAAATACTGAATGGCATTCCGTTGTCAGTGGCGGGGACCAACCGTCTCGATCAGCTTGCGATGCTCCAGCAAGGGAGCTTTGTCCTTGATGTCGTTGCTGGCGGCCCATGTTTTGATTTGATCCCTCAGTCGCTGGAGCTTCTTGATCTCGCGTTTCAGGTTATCTTCTAGCTTGTCCTTCTGGGCAGGATTACTCGATTGTTCGATCTTTTCGTAAATAGCTTCGAATTCAGCCACACCCTCGGAGACCTTTTTGAAGCACTTGTCGACCTCTTGGGCCAGTTTCCTCGCCGCCATTGTGAGTAGAAAAATGCAGCCACTCGGGCGCAGCGTCTAGTGGCTCGTATAGATCTTGTCGCCCGACTGTTGTTGTCGATTCGGTTTGTTGTGCGTCTCTGCCAGCACCGATGTGACAGCGCAGGGAAGGGTTATTATGATATAACGGCGCGTCGCGGGGGGCGATCCGATAGTCGTCGTTAATTATAATAGGGTGATAATACAGTGTCCGTCGTCCTGAGCGTCAATGCCGGGAGCCGATGGTAGATGAGATGTGGTTGTTGGAAGTAAGGCTGGCCAGCAACTGATTTGGTGGTTAAGGTTAGTTCAAGGTGGGAGGTGCAGCCATCCAATGAGGCTAAAGAACCGCGGTATCGTGATTGGCTGAGGGGCCGCGATTCACTGGGGCGAAGCGCGGTTAGCTGCTGAAACGTGTTGCAGTGGAAATTGAGGGTTGAACAAGCATGTACAGGCTTGAAAAGGCTGTAATAGTTGCAGATGGTTAGTCAATCTGTAAGAATGACATTTCCGTGTAATATTGAATTGACAAGCCGAACAGTGATGCAAATCCGTGCCAATATTGCGGGATGTTCTCAATGACGTGGTTTTTTCGCTAAGCGTCTACCTTAGTACTACTGAGATACGGAGTACCTTGCTGGCAATTAAAAGTGCCCTCCACTGCCTGCCTGACTGCCCTGCGCTGCCTCGGTGCTTTGCGTACCTGAGGTTAGTAGGTAGGTACCTAGGCCATACCTAGAACGACCAGTTTGGAAACTCAATGGCGCGCCAGTTGACGTTCCTATCAAATTATGAATATTGAAAACTATACCTAGGGAAAACTATAAAATTGGTGGCTTCTAGTCCACATGAGCGAGGCTGTTCGCTTGAGATAATTTAATGTTTTATCATCAACATTAATCTTGTTTGTCTTTCTCTGCTGTGATACACGGTAAATCGGGACAGATGCCGATCCGACTACGGAGTAACATCTAGATACAAAGACCTTGACTCAAGCCAGTCAAAACAGTCTGTTATCCTACTCAACGTGCCTCTCCAAGTCACAGAAAACTCACACATCACGAGTATGAAGGGTACGTGCAGTACAGTGTAATCACGCACACAGACACCCACCCACAAAAAAGACAAATGAAACATAAGCTCACCAACAACTCAAATAGTCATATTGCAGCGTGTCCTGTCGGCGTCCGTCACTGTCGACAAGGAGATGATCTCTTCCATCGGCAAGGGCGTCCTGGCCTTTGCAGCCGTGGCCCCCGGGGACACGGAGAAAGAGGCTGACCTGATGGCTGCCAAGGTGCTGAGGATGAAGCTGTGGGATGACGAAGAGGGCGGCAAGGTAAGGGAGATCAAAAGAGGCTGGCTGGGCCGATAATTTCGTTTTGTGGTTTCAAATCTGACAGGCTTTTTTCAAGTGGAAGAAGAGCGTCAGCGATATTGGCGGCGAGGTTCTCTGCGGTGAGTCTTCCTTCTCCGGTCGTGTGAGGGTAGCAGCAGTGGCTGAGACCTAGAGACAGTGTCGCAGTTTACGCTGCTGGCTAGCACAAAGAAGGGAGCCAAGCCTGACTTTCACGGTGCTGCCAACCCGGAGGAGGCACGTCGGCTATACCACTACTTTGTGCAGAAGGTCAGGGCGAGTTACATGGAGGAGAGAGTCAAGGATGGGCGATTCCAGGCCATGATGGAGGTTGCTCTCGTCAACGATGGGCCGGTAAGTATTGTGAAAGTCTTCTTTTCCTTGCATTTGGGTGGGCGTCTGTGCTAATCACGGGGGATGCATCATAGGTTACTCTGGAATTGAAGAACGGCGCCAAGACGGAGTGAGTGCTCGGCTGCTATAGAAATGTGAAATATAGGGAGATAGGCTATTGAAGATACCTCAGACGGGACGGGTAGACAAAAGAGAAAGCAAAGGGACTGGCTCAGGTGCATTGATTGATGGATCTGCTATAGGTTCGGTAATAGAGACATGTTTTGGAATCAGCCCTGGCGTCTATAATCAACATGATATGATTCTTGAAGAGTTCAGCTTGCCTGAGCTGGCACATCTTTGATATGTGTGTTACAGCATACAACCTGATAGGGTCAATTGTCGACGGGACTGTATCCGAAAGTGTAATTATCTAACAGCAAACAACAGCCAACGCAGCCATTTTTCATGTATTGTCAGTTTCTAATTGGATGCGTTAGCGAAAGGGCTGCATCATGTGCTGTGCAACCGAGGGCGGCTGAAGTATGTACTGTAGTTCCGCGTTGTGTTTGTGGGTTTAAAAAGAAGCAATTCAAAAGTGGTCAAAGCGACAGAGTGTCTCTCCTCTGTAACGGACGGGATGGACCCAGTAAAGGCTAGACTAGGTAGACAGACAGGCCAGGGTTTGGGACGGGGGAGTTTGGTCCGGGCGATTAAATCGGATTGGCCGTTGATTTCTTGCATCTGGATGTTGTGCGTTGATTGGTTGGTGGGTATGAGTATGTATGGAGGCGGGCAATAGTGTACTGTAGTTGAGTGGGAGGGATATAGGCGAGAAAAGGTGAGATTTGATCAGTAAAAAGACCCGCCCGTGGGTGTAACTTGTGTAACCACTAGAACTATTATTCCATCACGATTCACTCTCCTTTCGGTACTGGGCCTTGTTGACTCGGATTACAATGTCCTGAAAGCGTTATTGCAAGGAGGCTTAAGCCTCTTTGACCCCTGCCTGCTCTCTCTCTCATGAAATATCCCCCCTCCCCCGCGTTGATGAGACCATTAAGAGAGAGTTGTCTCTTTTCTCACTGTTATGCAAGAGAGACACAGTTTACGAGCTATTATTGTCTCCTCTTTAATTGAAACACATTTACAATTGCTGCATGACAGGTCATGCATGTATGTATGTATGTATCTGATGTCCTTGAACTGCAGGGCGAGCGAGATTGAGCCTCAGACTGCAGAGAGCCAGAGTCTGGAGAGCATCTGTTTGGGCTTCAAAGTTCTCGGCTGAACCTGTCTAGTTTCAGTTGATGATGTTTGTTGTTTTTATTAGTATCAGCTGGTCTACCTATTAAGGTAATTAGTTGTCCCGTCTTATCTCCTTTGCTCATCACCGCCCGGTGTAGGAAAAAGAAAAGACACCCGCATACGCAATTGTCGTCTTGGTTATGATATTCACATCCCGTCCGTCCATGCTTGGCTTAGTCCGAGGGATGTCGGAGCTGGACCTTGTTTGCGAGTGATTGTGATGCATGAGACATGATCTGACTGAGTCAATTGCATGAACGGTAGCCTATCTAGGTATGTATGTACTGTAACTCTTGTAGAGATATATAGTCTGTTCCCGGTAATAAAGAATTGGGTGAATCCTCCTCAGCTGTCGATTCTAGTACCGTTAAATACTGGGCTACCTAAGGTAGGTACCTTACCTACCCACTTATAAGCGGCACGATCTTCGGGCTCACTTGCATCGCGACTTTTCCTCAATTGGCAGGGTAGCTCCCCTCTTCTGTTGCCTTCTGTTTGCTTCTGCTCGCTCCTCCATAGCAACTCAACACCCAAATAAACCAACACCCCCACGCCGTGATCCCCCGTCTTACTCTTCAATCCTCTCAATTCCAATCTCAAGCACCTCGTCTCTCTTGCGGCGCCTTGATTTACTTTATTTCCATTTCCTTTTTTTGTTCTCTTCACCCAATTCCTTCTCCTCACAATCTATCGCAATGGCTACCGAAGGCGACTCCCCCGCGCGACCCCGCGTCTTCTTCGATATCTCGCTCGGCGGCAAGCCCGTTGGCCGTATCACCATGGAACTCTATGCCGACCTCGTCCCCAAGACCGCTGAGAACTTCCGTGCTCTCTGCACCGGCGAGAAGGGCATCGGCAAGTCTGGAAAGCCCCTGCACTACAAGGGCTCCATCTTCCATCGTGTCATCAAGCAGTTCATGATCCAAGGTGGTGACTTTACTGCTGGTGATGGCACCGGCGGAGAGTCCATCTATGGCAACAAGTTTGACGATGAATCTTTCCCCATGAAGCATGAGAAGCCTTTCCTCCTGTCCATGGCCAATGCTGGCCCCAGTAAGTTCCATGATGCCCCTCATTTCGGGCCATGACGCTGACGAATTACCCCGCCAGACACCAACGGCTCCCAGTTCTTCATAACCACCGTTCCTACCCCTCACCTCGACGGCAAGCACGTCGTCTTCGGCGAGGTACTTAACGGCAAGTCCGTCGTTCGACAAATCGAAAACCTTACCACCCAGTCCGGCGACCGCCCCGCAAAGGAGGCTCTCATTGCCGACTGTGGCGAGCTCAAGGGTGACGCTGCCGTCGCTGCCGACGTGAAGCAGCCCGACGCCCTCGGCGACCCATACGAGGACTTCCCCGAAGATTGCACAGACACTCTCGATGCCGTAGCCATCGTCAAGATCGCCACGGCCTGCAAGGAGTACGGCAACACTGCCTTCAAGTCAGGCAACTATTCTCTCGGCCTCGACAAGTACCAGAAGGGCCTGCGCTACGTTAACGAGGATCCTGATCTTGAGAACCAACCGCAGTCGATCAAGGACGACCTCAAGGCTCTGCGCTTTTCCCTCAACAACAACTCGGCGCTCCTGAACATTAAGCTGGAGGCCTGGGACGACGCTGCTCGCTCCGCTTCTGCTGCCCTGGACGTCGAAGGCGTTAAGGACGCCGACCGTGCAAAGGCTTTCTACCGCCGTGGCCTTTCCAACATCCACCTCAAGGACGAGGAGGCTGCTCTACGTGACTTGAGTGAGGCTAACACCCTTGCGCCCAACGATAGCGCCATCACCCGAGAGCTCAATGCCGTCCGAACCAAGGCTGCTGCTCGCGCTGCCAAGGAGAAGGCTGCCTATAAGAAATTCTTCGCCTAAGCGGCTGCAGAGAAGGCATACTGCAAAATAGAGAGCGTCATTTTACCCATTACGAGCGGGATAGAACGCCAGATGTATTTGAAAATTATAGCCATGTTTCATATGGAATGAGGGCGGAGGACATGATCACACTTTCTGTAACATAACCCATGCGAGGAAAAAGCGGGTTACTTAGGAGTCGGCGCTGAATGAAAGATACCATCGAATTGCAGATATTGCAATACTCTATAAAGGGATGACATTATGGACATCAGCTTTGTGATTGACTATGTCAACGTTCCAGTTCCCATATTCGTGCTTCGTAAGTTAGGCAAGGCGTCCACGCATAGACCATTTATGGTTTCAGTGAAGAGAGGATGGTTCTAATTGTGATTTGAGTTGATGGGGGAGGATCGACATGCCATATGTCGTCTTTGCCTCCAAAGTTTATATATCTATCAGCCATGCCGACCATAAAAGGTACCTTGGACCGAAGTCTCCCAACTTTACATAAAAGCAAATATAAGTAAAACAAACAAATAAACAAACAAACAAACATAGATATATAATACAACAAATCAAAGGAGGTGAACCCAACCGCCTGCTATGCGAGTATCAAGAAATGGCCCGCCATATCCAAGATCCGTGGTAGTAATGACAAAAGAAACGACAAGTATGAATGAGAGGAGATATGAGAAAAGACGAAGGTGGGATTAAAAAAAAAAGTTGTATTGTTCATTCAATCATGAATAACTAGTTCTCCCATCTAGTCATCAAAAGGTATATAAAATGTGTATATGTATATGTATAGATGGATATAAATGGCTTTCTTCTTTTTTTTTACTTCAAATGCTTCGAGGAATCTTTTCCCTCCGGACTCTCACCACGGCCTACTATTCGTGTGATGCCGCTGAGGATCGTACGTCCTACGCGTCCGTTCTTAGACTTGATAGTGTTGCTTGCACTCGCACTCGCACTTCCGCCTGTGCTTGCATGCCGTTGCTTTCGTTGCTCCCAGCCTTCTTTGTGGTGGTAATGGTGGCGGCGACGCTCTTTGCTTCGTCTGCGGTTGCGTATTGTGTTGTCGTCGTTGACTTCGCTGCCTGAACTACCTGGTGTGGGTTCGTAGACGTCGTTCCATGCTGTTGAGGAGCCGCCGTAGGAAATAGAGAGTGATTCAATCAAGGACGCTTGTTCGATGGATTCGGCGACGTCTTCTGTGGTGGCGCAGGTTGCTGTTTCACCGGCAAGCTCAGTCTCGACCTTAGCGAGACAGGCGTCCGCGCGTTGTTGTAGAGCGAAGCATACATCGTTGAATGCGAGAAGCTCTTGGTCTACCTCCTCTTTCTTGTCGTCAACCGGTCTAGCGTCCACCCATAGCTTGACAAGACTCGCCAAGTTTCTCGTGTCGTCAATCAAGTAGGGAAGGCTGGGGAACCCCTCCTTGGAAGTAGGACTTAAACGACCGAGAATAGTAACTGGCGTGCTGTAGCCGGCAGGAACGAAATTGACGTTGCGGTCCGCTGGGATACTGCACACTTGGTCGATATAGTCACGGACTGATTGTCTCTGCACATTGAGGAATCGGTTCATCGGCTCCATCCATTCCTCTCGCTTTCCAAAGTTGGACAAATTTGCTAGTTTCTGTAGTGCTTTGGCGATAAGTGTGAATGTTCGTTGGGCATGGGGTCGAGGGTGGTCGCGTAGGAGGTTGAATAGCTTGGGCGATAGAATAGCTGGACATATGAATCGAAGGAACAGGAAGCCAGAGACTGATGTGTATGTGACAGTGCGCAAGAAGTCTCCATAGCGATCTTCAGCAACGGCTCGGATGTACTTGAGAATATGTCGTAGCTCCGGAGGTAGTCGGTTGGCTGAGTTAGCGATGCACTTCCACACTTCAGTCGTGTAGTGGATGAGCACAGTCCAATGCTGGTCGAGATCCGATTCGTGGGGGATCTTGCTGGGGTCAACTT